AGGAGGAGGAGGTGAGGAGAGAGGAGGAGGAGGAGGAGGAGGAGGAGGAGGTAGGAGGAGGAGGAGGAGGAGGAGGAGGAAGATGAGGAGGAGAGGAGGAGGCGAAGAGGAGGAGAGGAGGAAGGAGGTGGAGGAGGAGAGGAGGAGAGAGGAGGAGGAGGAGGAGGAGAGGAGGAGGAGGAAGGAGGAGGAGGAGGAGGAGGAGGAGGAGGAAGGAGAGGAGGAGGCAGGAGGAGGAGGAGGAGGGAGAGGCGGAGGGAGGGATGGAAGGGAGGGAGGGAGGGAGGGAGGGAGGGAGGTAGGGCGGGGAGGGAGGGGAGGAGATGGAGGGGAGGGAGTGAGGGAGGGAGGAGGGAGGGGCAGGAGGAGGGAGGGAGGCGGAGGAGGTAGGGAGGGAGGGAGGGAGGGAGGGAGGGAGGAGGGAGGGAGGGGAGGGATGGAAGGGGGGGAGGGAGGAAGAGGAATGGAGAAGGGAGGAAGGGAGGAAGGGAGGAAGGGAGGAAGGAAGGAAGGAAGGAAGGAAGGAATGGAGGAATGGAGGAAGGGAGGAAGGGAGGAAGGGAGGAAGGGAGGAGGAGGAGGATGAGGAATAGCGGGAGGAGGAGGAGCAGGAGGAGGAGCAGGAGCAGGAGGAGGCCGAGGCGGCGCTGAAAAATTGGTCCTGGGAAAGTGGTCCAGACCTCTGGGGCCCACGCATCAACAAGAATTGGAGCAGCCGGATGCGTGGGTCTGCGCTTCGCTCCTGTCGGGCTCACAAGGAGGGAGGAACGGAGGAGTTTTCGCGAGAGTGCCGTAGTTCTTTTCGACAGCTTTTCAGGTCTCGCTTCGACGCCTCCGATTCGATTCGACTTCGATTACGACTGCTTCCGATTCCGATTCGATCCGACTTGGGATTCCGATTCGGGTTCCGATTTCTCATTGGAGGCATACTATCCTGCTGATTTCAGCCGATCCGACTTTTCCCAACTCGGCCGCCGATTTCCGCCGATCCGATTCATTTCGATCGCCGATCCGACTTATCGATTCGATTCTCGGCTCTCCTGGCTTTGGGGGCCCAGGGTGTCTCCATCAGCTGCGCCTCGTGGAGGCCGTTCCAGGGGTGCCCAGGTCGTCCCGAACAGCCGCCGGAGGCCTGAGTTCTGTCCAGAGGGCGTCACCACCACTCTGGATCCGCAGTATGTGAGTTGGCCTTCAGCGTGTCGCACACGCACCCCGCACGATGCGAAAGAGCAGGGCGGAGATGTCCTCATCAGAAACGCAGGGCGGAGATTTCTGGAGAGGTATAGCGGAGACACTGCAACGGCAGAGTAGGGCGAACATCGACACTAAAGGAGCCTGAAGCGTACGGCGGAAGTTTCCGCTCCACTTGCGAAATCGCCCAAACGACGGCGGATCTGGAGTCAGGGTTCGCAGGCGATCTTTCGACGAAACATGAAGCCGCTCAGAGAAAGGCGAGGAACTCGGACGCACCCCTATCGAGGATGCACGCCCCCCCGGCGTCTATTCTCGAGTTGGGCCCACATGTTTCATCCAATCGACAACTCCACGAAGTCGGGGATAGGGGTCGACATATCCTCTGTCAAGGGCCGGGCTCGAGCAGGGGCAGCCTCAGGGGCGGAAGGTTTTTGGCCAGATTCGGGCTCCCGGGGCCCTCGCTGGGCCCTGGGACCATCATCGACGTTGCCCTGGACGAGACACCCCAGTGGTCCAGACCTCCAGTCGGCGGCGAGCCTGGGGGGGAAGTGAGAAGGAGGATGCCTTCTCAGAAGGCTCGGAAGTCCTCCAGCCTTCTGAGCAGTTTTCTGAGCTTGCCCCGACGACGTGGGGAAGTTCTCATAAGGCGCGAGCGCTTCTGAGAAGTCCCGCCGCCTTCTGAGAGGGCCTTCTTCTCACTTCCCCCCTTCGCTCGCCACCGAACTTAACATGTTCTTCAGTCTAAGCAGGGGTGTACGGCGGATCCTCTGTCAAGGGTCGGGCTCGATCAGGGGCAGCGTCAGGGGCAGGAGGTTTCCCGCCGTGTTCGAGCTGCGGGAGACCTTGCTGGGCCCTGGGGCTGTGAAACGAATTGACCGGGACTGTCAAAAAACTGTTCCTTCAGCTCCTCCTCCTCCTCCTCCTCCTCCTCCGCCTCCTCCTCCTCCTCCTCCTCCTCTCCTCCTCCCTCCTCCTCCTCCTCCTCCTGTCCTCCTCCTCTCTTCCTCCTCCTCCTTATCCCTCTCCGCCAGTCCCTCCCTCCTCTCTCCTCCTCCTCCTCCTCTTCCTATCTCCGCCCCTTTTTCCATCCCCTCCCCCTCCTCCTCCTCCTCCTCCTCCTCCTCCTCCACTTCCTCCTCGATCCTCCTCCTCCTCCTCCTCCTCATTCTCCTCCTCGGTCTTCTCCTCCTCCTCATCCTCCTCCTCTTCCTCCTCGATCCTCCTTCTCCTCCTCGATCCTTCTCCTCGATCCTCTTCCAGGTTCCCCCCGTGATGTCCCCCCTCACTCGGGGGTGGGGCTCCAGGGATCGGAGGCTGCCGCGTCGGGGCCTCCAGGGATCGAATGGCCCCTCGTTCGGTTCTCGTTGTGCCTCGTGGCCGCAACAGGTTTCGGTTCTCGGTTCTCGGTTGCCTCTTTTCGATTCTCGAATTCTCGATTCTCGATTCTCGGAGTCTCGATTCGATTCTCGGTTGCCCCTGTTCGCTTCTCGAATTCTCGATTCTCGCTTCTCGGTTGCCCCTTTTCGATTCTCCAGCTCTCGGTTCTCCGTTGCCCCTTTGTCGATTCTCGAACGGCCCCTTTTTCGGTTCTCGGTCTCGGCTTTCGGTTCTCGTCTCTTTGTGGGTTGGCGCCCGCCGGTTCTGGTCCCGGTCTGGTCTGCGAGGCGCAGCTGCGCCTCGCCGAGCGCGGCCCGGGGATGCCCGGATACGTCGCGGACGGCCGCCGGAGTCCGCCGAGTTGTGGCCCGGAACGCCGGACGGCGGGGATCTGTCCACAGCCATCGCCTGGGGGATCGATCTTCGGGTACCTCGGCAGGCGGTCGATGTGGACACAGTCGGACCCCCCGGGGCCACAGCATATCCACATCCCCCCGCTGGGGTCCCCCCAGCCCCCTGACACCTTTCGATCTTTCGTTCAGTCCGCGGCCCCCAGAGGAGGTCTCTCGTCCTCCTCCTCCTCCTCCTCCTCCTCCTCCTCCTCCTCCTCCTCCTCCTCCTCATCCTCCTCCCCCCCTGGGCTCCCAGGCTCCCCAGGCAGTTGGACATGCATAGATCGGAGCCGAGATTTTTCGTCCCGAGTCGTTGTTTTTGACGCTCCCGAGGTCTCAGCGAGGGCCCCCGGAGGCCGAAAACGGCCCAAAACCGCCTGCTCCAATTTTTGCTGGAGCGTCGGATCTCAGGGTCTGCCTTGGCTTTGGCGCTCCGCTGAGCCACGCCTGGCCTCCTCCTCCTCCTCCTCCTCCTCCTCCGCCCTCCTCCTCTCCTTCCTCCTCCTCCTCCTCCTCCTCCTCCTCCTCCTCCTCCTCCTCCTCCTCCTCGATTGTCCTTCAGTCCGGGGTCGCCGACCTCGGCGCGCAGGCCGCCCGCAGGAGGTCGCGCGTGAGTGCCCTCGCTTCCAGCGGCGGCGTGCCGCGCTGGCGGCCCACGCAAGCTGCGGAGCAGGGTCGCCGTGTCGTCTCGCGCAAAGGCCCGTGTCTGATCGTCCGTCACCTGGTCGTGCAGCCTCCCCAGACCTCCCCGCGCTGTGAAACATCACGATGGGAGGTTTTTCGCTATTTTCGGCCTCCAGGGTCCCTTACCGGGCCTCGGGACCGTCAAGAAACGACTCTGGATGGAAAACCGGCCCCGGGGGAAGGGTCCAGGCTTCTGGAGGTCGACGCCATGAAAAAGTCACGTCGTCGGGGGTCTGGGTCCGCCTTCGCCCCTCTGGGTGCCTCCTGGCGAGCCACCGCTGCTGCGGCTGGATTCGCCTCGGGGGCCCTGGCCAGAGCGCACCACGCGCGTGGTCCAGGGAGCAGTGGCTTCGTTGCCCCTGCTTGCTCCCCCAGGGCGTCGATGGGCAAGGGGCGCGTCTGGAGGGAGAGGCGAGACTGCCGAGGAACGTCCGGCCCCGCTGGGCTCCACCTGTCTGGTCTGAGGACTCCTCGTCGAGCGCGAAGAGATTCTCTGGACGCTCCCTCTCCCCTATAAGATCCTGGCGTTCCCATTGTTCACAGCGTGCGATTCTGCTTTGTTTCGGGCTCCAGGACCCTTACGGCTCGATCTGGCTCGATGACGCAAAACGACGGGACCCAGGGCTCTGGTCGACGTGTTTTTATTTTTTTTCGTGGCGTCGGATCTTGGGTTCTCCGAGAGCCGAGGGATGTCTGGCCTCGCCGGGCTCCGGAGGTCTGATCTGAGGACTCCTCGTCGGGCGCCCACGCCGCAGGGTGACCGCAGGAGTCTGCACGTTTCAAGGGAATCGGCGGTCAGACTGCTGGTTTGCGCATGGTCTAAATTCAGCTCTGAGCACTTTGTGCCGCACAGGGTCGCAGTCGTGCGATCTGAACTTGTCCCTTGCTCCCTCGCTCCCACGTCGGTTTTCTCTCTCGCCCTCCGCCGCTTTCGCGGATGGTTCTGGAGCTTGTCATGGGCCCTCTTCAGGGCAGTCTCGGGGCATGATTAATGGTGGCGTCTGGAGGGGTTCGGCCATGTATGCAAACGGTCAGGGCAAGAACGGTGGGCCTTGATAGCCTGGTAGATTCCGACGGACAGGAATGCATCATGTTTGCCAGCGTTCACCCAAAACAGTAAGTTTGTGCAGTCCTGATGTGGCAGCTATGTGGCGCAAGCTATGCGGAGCCATCTACGGGAGTATGGGGTGCAATCGATGTGGTGCAAGATTTGGAGTGCAAACTTTGGGGTGCAAGCTGAGTGGTGGTGCAAGCTATGTGATACAAGATCTGTGGTGCAAGCTATGTGGTACAATCAATCGGGTGCAATCATTTGTTGACATCGCGTGTGATCACCTCCAATGCTCGTCGTCAGTTCACATGCTCGAGCAAATGCCACTCACCCGCCCACAACTGATTGACAAAACTCAACTTGCGTAATGTCGCGAGAACCCTTCTTTCATGCAGATTCTTGATTCGGATGGGCGTGTGACCTGTTGGCGACGATGGCCACGACAACGACGATGGCAATGCCGATGGCGATGACGATGAGGATGATGATGATAGTGTTGATGATGCTGCTGATGATGATGGTGATGATGATGATGATGATGTCGATGATGCAGGTGATGCTGATGATGATGATGATGATGATGATGATAATGATAATGATAATGATAATGATGATGATGATTATGATGATGATGATGATGATGATGATGATGATGACGATGATGATAATGATGATGATGATGATGATGATGGTGATGATGATGATGATGATGATGAATGGGGATTCCCCGCTGCAATGTCCCGGCGGAGAACCGCGGGTCACGCCCAGAGGCCGCGAGGAGGACATCCACCTCCATCCTGCTTGATGTCCACCACCTCATCCTCCTCAGTCTTCCGCAACAAGCACCTGCTCGTGCACCTTCTCAAGCAGCACCACCCTGGCATCCCCCTCTCCATCGTCTTCCTCCCCCTGGCCATCCTGGTCCTCCTCCTCCTCCTCCTCCTCCTCCTCGTCCTACTGGTCCTCCTCCTTTTCATCCTCCTCCTCGTCCTGCTGTTCCTCCTCCTCCTCCTCCCCCTCCTCCCCCATCTGCTCCTGCACCAGATCACGGATAAGACGCGGCAGGCTGCATGAATAAGACGGCGCCGATGCACCTACATCCGCGGGCAGCTTGCGCGCGGGTGAACGCGCAATCGATCCCCGCGGCATCGCCCCCCCCCAGCTTCAAACCAGGCGGCGCAACGGACCGCTTCTGTCAAAGCCTCGTCTCCCCCGTCGGGGGCGGTTCACCCACGCATCCCGCTAGCAGACCGTGGAGGCCTTGGATAAGAAATCCAGGGTCTGGAGCCTTGTGGAGATCCACTTGCGTGGAAGGGGGGGGGGGGGGGGGCAGAAGTTGTCCGCCCCCAATCATTGTGAGCTCTATACCTTCCCTCCGTCTCCTCTCCCCCTCCTGCTTCCTCCTCCTTCCCGCCTCCCTCCTCCCTCTCCCCTCCCTCCCACCTCCCTCCCACCCTTCCTCCGCCTCAGATCCCCTGGAGGAGGACGGCAGGTGAGCGGTCCGATTGCAGCTGCGCGCCCGCGGACGGGTTGAAATGCGTCGCCCAGTTGGGATTGCGATCGCGCACCCGCGGGCGGGTCGAAATCTATCGCCCAGTTGCGGTTGCGGTTGCGCGCCCGCGGGTGGGTCGAAATGTGTTGCCCAGTTTGCGGTTGCGGTTGCGCGCCCGCGGGCGGTCTGGAATGTGTCGCCCAGTTGCGGTTGCGGTCGCGCGCCCGCGGGCGGGTCGAAATGTGTCGCGTAGTTGCGGTTGCGCGCCCGCGGCTGGGTCGAAATGCGTCGCCCAGTTGCGATTGCGGTTGCGCGCCCGCGGGCGGGTTGTAATGTGTCGCCCAGTTGCGGTTGCTGTTGCGCGCCCGCAGGCGGGTCGAAATGTGGCGCCCAGTTGCGGTTGCGGTTGCGCGCCCGCGGGCGGAGTGAAATGCGTCGCCCAGTTGCGCTTGCGCGTCCGCGGGCGGATTGGAATGTGTCGCTCAGGTGCGGTTGCGGTTGCGTGCCCGCGGGCGGGTCGAAATGTGTCGCCCAGTTGCGGTTGCGGTTGCGCGCCCGCGGGCGGGTCGAAAGGTGTCGCGTAGTTGCGGTTGCGGTTGCGCGCCCGCGGGCGGGTTGAAATGTGTCGCCCAGTTGCGGTTGCGGTTGCGCGCCCGCGAGCGGGCAGAAATGTGTCGCTTAGTTGCGGTTGCGGTTGCGCGCCCGCGGGCGGGTTGAAAAGTGTCGTTTAGTTGCGGTTGCGGTTGCGCGCCCGCGGACGGGTCGAAATGTGTCGCCCAGTTGCGGTTGCGCGCCCGCGGGCGGTTTGAAATGTGTTGTTCAAGGCGCCCTCCTGACGTTCAGCCAGTACTAATCAGTCAGTCAATCAGTCAGTCAATCAGTCAGTCAATCAGTCAGTCAGTCACCGGCGGGCGCGGAATTTCACCCGGCTCCGCCGGGAAAGCCATACCCAGAACCGCACTAGTCAGTTACGCAAGAACCTAGCAAAAACCCTGTGTTTTGGGAGGAGGGGCTGGCTATGTTTCCGCCTGCGTGCCAGGGGGCATCGTGCTCGTTCGACCTGCCCCCCGGTTGCGTCTGGACGGGGGGCGGCCCGCGCACCACTTGCAGCTCTTGTTCTCCGCCCCGTCATTTCCCTCCTCGTTCCTCGTCGACATCCGCCTCCTCCTCCTCCTCCTCCTCCTCCTCCTCCTCCTCCTCCTACATACCCTTGTTCTTTACAATATGAATAATTTCTCATTGCCGCGCCCCATCAGGTGTGAGTACGCGGGCCGGGGCATTTCGATTGAAAGTCCTTCACAGTTTGTGATATTGAAGCTGAAGCTCGAAATTAGCAACAGCTTCAAAGATAGAAAACGGGCCCTTTTGAAACAACTTCAGTGATGGAGGAGGGGCCTCCAAGCTTTGACTCTCGCCGTAGCGTTACGCGCAGTCGCCTTCAATGAGTGCAACAGCTTCACAGATGGAGGGTGGCTGGTTTTCAGAATGTGGCTCTCGCCTTAGCGCCTCGCACCTTCGTCTTCAAAGGCTGCCACAGTTTCAAAGATGGGGGGCGGGTGGTTTTGAAGATGTGGCTCTCGCCTCAGCGCCTCGCGCATTTGCTTCAATGTGTTGCAGCCGCTTCAAAGGTGGATGGCGTTTTTTTTTGGGGGGGGGAGATATGGATTTCGCCTCAGCGCCTCGCGCATTCATCCGCTTGCATGTGTTATTGCAGCTTCAAAAAAGATGGAGGGCGGTCCCTTTGCAAAGTATGGTTCTCGCCTCAGCGCTGTGCTCGCTCGCTTTAAAGGTGCACGCGCGCGAGTTCCATGATCTTGTAGGGTTGGAGTCCCGGGAAGGGTGTTCTGGCACGATTTCGGATTGGCAAGACGCATTCGTCACGTTGATTCAAGGTGGTGGAATCCCCAGAATTGTGTTTTGGCATGATTTAGGATCGTCAGGACGCAACAGTCACGTTGGTCCGCGGCGTTGAGATCTCAGGAACAGTGTTTTGGCACGATCGAGGATTCTTACGCGGTCGTCTTTGAATGTGGCATTTCCTGTGTCCTCCTCCTCCTTCTCTTTCTCCTCTTACCTCGTCCTCTCCTCCTCCTCCTCCTCCTCCTCCTCCTCCTCCTCCTCCTCCTTTTCCTCCTCCTCCATTCTTCTCCCTTGTCAGCAAATTATCCCTGTCGCACCCCGAGGCCGATCGAAAGGGCGGCACAGGAGTTTCTCCTGAGACTTCCTCACCACTTATGACCCTGAAGCACAACTTGGAGAGCTTCGCGGATTGAGGGCGGGTCGTTTTCAAAATGCGGCTCTCGCCCCAGCGCCGCGGCCACCAGTTATATATATATTATATATATATATATATATATATATATATATATATATATATGTGTGTTTGTGTGGGTGTGTGTGTGTGTGTGTGTGTGTGTGTGTGTGTCTTCCTATTTATCTATTTTCCACAGGGCGGGACCCGGAAAAGCGGGGTACACGGTGCCCACCCCCCCCACCCCAAACGAATTTCGGCCTCCCCGAGCCTCTGGGGCGCTCCTGCAGAGTGCTTCCGTGGATCTCCGGTCCTCCTGGACCCCCCAGGCAGGTCTGTCCTGCGAGTCCGACGCGAAAAAAAAAGCCCCCACGACGGCCAAAGAGGGCCCGAGACACCCAAAGATCGGCCCAAGACGCCCAATATGGGCCCAAGACTGCCCAAGAGGCCTCCAAGACGCCCCAAGAGACCCCCAAGAGGCATCCCAAGAGAGCCCCTAGAGGCTAAAATTGTTGATTTTCCTGTGTGTGTGTGTGTGTGTGTGTGTGTGTGTGTGTGTGTGTGTGTGTGTGTGTGTGTGTGTGTGTGTGTGTGTGTGTGTGTGTGTGTGTGTGTGTGTGTGTGTGTGTGTGTGTTTTCGATGTTTTTGGCCTTCTCGCTTTTTCCGCTTCCCCACGCTCCAACGCGGCCCAAGAGGCTCCCTAGATCGCCCCAGTACTGCCCAAGAGGCCCCCAAGAAGGCCCCAACACGGTCCAGGAGGGCTCCAAGACCGCCCAAGAGGCGCCCAAGGCGGCCCAAGAGAGCACCAAGACGGCCCCAAGAGAGGCCCAAGAGGCGCCCAAAAATTCAAAACTTAAGTTTTCCGCCGCGAGCGGGCCCCGAGAGGCCCCAATAGGGCCCCATGAGGCCCCAAGAGGCTCCCCAGAGGCCCCAAGGAGCCCCCAAAAAGCCTCCAAGAGGCCCCAAAAAGATCCCAAGAGGCCCACAAACAGCCCCCAAGAGGCTTCAAAACTGCCTCCCAGAGGCCCCCGAGAGGCGTACCACGAGATCCCAACACAGCGGTCTCCCCCTCTCATTATCCCTTCTCTTTGTCGTCGCCTTCTTCGTCGTCGTCGTTGTCGTCGTCCCCATCCTGTTCCTCGTCTTCATCCTCCTCCTCCTCCTCCTCCTCCTCCTCCTCCTTCTCCTCATCCTCTTCAGCTCTTCCGGTTCAGCTCAATCGGCACAGGACTGAGGAGGAGAAACAGGAGGAGAAGCAGGAGGAAGGGGGGAAAAGAAACGGGCACAGAAGAATACGAGGACAAATAGAACGAGGAGCAGATAAAGGAGCGCGGAGGAGAAGTAACGATTACCACTCAGCTAGCAAACGAAGCAAGGGGAAAAGGATGAGGAAGAAGCAGTAGTCGAACCCGCTTCGCTTTGGATTTCCTCGCAACTTCGACTGCGGAAGTGCATTGCTCCATAGTGTTCCCGCTTTCCTCCATAGTGTTCCCGCTATCTTCGCCTGAGACATTCTGGCAGATTATCGGACGTAGTCGCTGTTGCATGCGCGCCTAGGGCTGCGCAAACGATTTGCGTATACGTGTACATACCCTTGCACGCGTACATTCATATTCACAAATGCAACGTGTACGTATGGGCGCAGATGCGCGCGCATGGTACGCACGCACGCACTCCGCTAGCTTGCGAAACTCAAGGACCAAGGTGCATGGCGCGCTGCGCCAGTGCAGTCTTGTATGTATGTATGTATGTATGTATATATATACAAAACTGCACTGGCGCTGCGCGCCATGCACCTTGGTCCTTGAGTTTCGCAAGCTAGCGGAGTGCGTGCGTGCGTACCATGCGCGCGCATCTGCGCCCATACGTACACGTTGCATTTGTGAATATGAATGTACGCGTGCAAGGGTATGTACACGTATACGCAAATCGTTTGCGCAGCCCTGGGCGCGCATGCACATGCGCACCTCGGAAGGTCTGCAAGAATGTCTCAGGCGAAGAAATCGGGAACACTATGGAGCAATGCACTTCCGCAGTCGGAGTTGCGAGGAAATCCAAAGCGAAGCGGGTTCGACTACTGCTTCTTCCTCATCCTTTTCCCCTTGCTTCGTTTGCTAGCTGGGTTGTAATCGTTACTTCTCCTCCGCGCTCCTTTATCTGCTCCTCGTTCTATTTGTCCTCGTATTCTTCTGTGCCCGTTTCTTTTCCCCCCTTCCTCCTGCTTCTCCTCTTGTTTCTCTTCCTCAGTCCTGTGCCGATTGAGCTGAACCGGAAGAGCTGAAGAGGATGAGGAGAAGGAGGAGGAGGACGAGGAAGAGGAGGAGGACGAAGTCGAGGAAGAGGATGGGGACGACGACAACGACGACGACGAAGAAGGCGACGAAAAAGAGAAGGGATAATGAGAGGGGGAGGCCGCTGTGTTGGGATCTCGTGGTACGCCTCTCGGGGGCCTCTGGGAGGCAGTTTTGAAGCCTCTTGGGGGCTGTTTGTGGGCCTCTTGGGATCTTTTTGGGGCCTCTTGGGGGCCTTTTGGGGGCTCCTTGGGGCCTCTGGGGAGCCTCTTGGGGCCTCATGGGGCCCTCTTGGGGCCTCTCGGGGCCCGCTCGCGGCGGAAAACTTAAGTTTGAATTTTTGGGCGCCCTCTTGGGCCTCTCTTGGGGCCGTCTTGGTGCTCTCTTGGACCGCCTTGGGCGCCTCTTGGGCGGTCTTGGAGCCCTCCTGGACCGTGTTGGGGCCTTCTTGGGGGCCTCTTGGGCAGTACTGGGGCGATCTAGGGAGCCTCTTGGGCCGCGTTGGAGCGTGGGGAAGCGGAAAAAGCGAGAAGGCCAAAAACATCGAAAACACACACACACACACACAGGAAAATCTATAATTTTAGCCTTTCGGGGCTCTCTTGGGAGGCCTCTTGGGGGTCTATTGGGGCGTCTTGGAGGCCTCTTGGGCAGTCTTGGGCCCATATTGGGCGTCTTGGGCCGATCTTTGGGTGTCTCGGGGCCCTCTTTGGCCGTCGTGGAGGTTTCTTTTTTCGCGTCGGACTCACAGGACAGACCTGCCTGGGGGGTCCAGGAGGACCGGAGATCCACGGAAGCACTCTGCAGGAGCGCCCCAGAGGCTCGGGGAGGCCGAAATTCGTTTGGGGGGGGGGGGGCACCGTGTGCGGCTTTTCCGGGGTCCCCGGCCCTGTAAAAATATATATAAATACACACAAAAGCGCCACAGCTTGACGGATTGAGGGCGGGTCTTTTTCAACATGTGGCTCTCGCCTTGGCACCGCGCGCATTCGTTGTAAACAGTTGTAAGCGCTTCACGGATTGAGGGCGGTTGGTTTTCAACATGTGGTTCTCGCCTCAGCGCCGCGCGCACTCGTTTTTAGAAATGTTCAAGAGTTTCACGGGTTCGCATGGTCAGCGTACCAGAAATGGTGTTTTGGACGGACTCATGAGCGTCAGGGCGCAACAGTTACGTTGATTCGTGGCGTTGAAGTCCCAGGAATGGTGTTCTGGTCCTTTTCAGGATCGTCGAGACGCAGCAGTCAAGGTGATCTGTTGTGTTGGGGTCCCGAGAATGTTGTTTTGGCACGCTTTAGGGTCTTTAACCGGTTGTCTCCCAACGAGGCAGTTCAATCAGTGGACATGGACCCTTGTAGGGGCCTAAGTCGAGGGAGCTTGCAGGGAGAGTTTATTCCGACATCGTTGATGACTCTTGGGTTTGAGTTGGTCCTCCTCTGCCTCCTCCTCTTCTTCCTCCTCCTCCTCTTCCACTTTTTCCTCCTCCTCCTCCTCCGTCTCCCCCTCCTCCTCCCTCTCCCCCGTGCTCCGAATACCTCGCCGCTCGCTGGCCGCTGCTCAGAGGCACCGGCCCCTCGCGCGGCGAGGCGCGCGCCTTGGGGGAGAGCCGACGGGCACGTGCTGAGGGTTTCGCCACCTCCTCCTCGCCCTCCTGCTCGGTCTTCGCCCCGCCTCGCCCCTCCCCCTCGCTTCTCGCCCCTCCCCTCCTTGCTCCCTCCCTGCCCCTCCTCGCTCCCTGCTCCCTGCCCTCCTCCTCGCCTGCTCCTCGCCCCTTCCTCGCCCCCTCCTCCCTCCTCCGTCGCTCCTCCTTCCTCGCACCCTCCCCCCTTCCTCGCGCTTCGAAGACATGAACGGCGGGAGGTGCTTGGCCGTTTTCGGCCTCCAGTGGCCCTCGCCCGGCCCTTAGGACCGTCAAAATGCGACCAGGGGTGAGAAACCGGTCCCGAGGAAGGTCCAGACCTCCAGGGGCTCACGCTGCACTGAAATCACGACGTCGGAGTTCTGGCCTCCTCCTCACCCCGTCCTCGCTCCCTCTTCACTCACTCCTCGCCGCTCCCCCTCGCTTCTCGCTCCGCCTCGCCTCCTCTTCCCTCCCTCTTCCCTCCCTCCTCGCCCCTCCTCGCTCCCTCCCGTCCCTCCCTCCCCCCATCCTGCTCCCTCCTGTGCTCATGGGCCCTCGGTGGGGGGGAGGCGCGAGGCCGTCGTCGCCACTGCCAGATCCTCTTCCAGACCCTGGTATGCGCCCCGGGGAAAAGCGAGCAACAACAATAACGGCAGCCTCGCCATTGTTCACAGTGATAGCAGGAGAAGAAGGAGGACGGTGAGGCGGGGGAGGGGCAGGAGGAGGACGAGCAGGAGGACGAGCATGAGGACGAAGTGATACGAATACTGAGGAGGAGGACGAGGAGGAGGAGGAGGATTGAGTGGAGGAGGAAGAGGACGTGAAGGAGGAAGAGGAGGCGGAGTAGGAGGAGGAGGAGGCGGCGGAGGAGGAGGAGGAGGAGATGATCTGTCTCTCCTCCTCCGCCGCCGTTCCCATTGTGCCGTTGCTCATGCATTGACACTGTGCGCTCAGCGTTTGTCCGAACACAGCGTGCAGATGACGAGCTGTACCTGGAGAGGATCGACCGCGGCCGTGCCAAACAGGAAATACAAAGTAAACAAGGCTCGATGATGATGATGATGATGATGATGATGATGATGATGATGATGACGATGACGATGACGATGACGATGATGATGATGATGATGATGATGATGATGATGATGATGATGATGATGATGATGATGATGATGATTATGCTTGCGATGATGATGATGGTGATGATGATGATTGTGGTAATGGTGATGATGATGATCCTTAAAATGGTGATGACGATGATGATTATGATGAAGCTGAAGATGCATATTAATATGAACATGAAGATGATGATGCTTATGATGATGTTGATGATGCTGCTGATGATGATGATGACGATGATGATGGTGGTGGTGATGCTGATGGTGATGACGATGATGCTGATTATCATGATGTGGATGCTTATGATGGTAATGCTGATGACGACTCTGATGATGATGGTGATGATGTTGATTATGATAATGGTGATGACGATCGACGATGCTGATGCTGATGTTAAGGATGACGATGATTATGATGATGGCGATGGTGTTGGTGCTGGTGATGGTGATGGTGATGGTGTGGTGATGGTGATGATGATGGGTGACAGATGATGGATGCTGATGGTTAGTTATGATAATGATAGTGGTGATGCTGCTGATGATGATGGTGATGATGACGCTGCTGATGATGAAGAATGATGGTGATGCTGATGGTGATGACGACGACGATGAGCATGATGATGATGGTGACGATACTGTTGATGCTGATTTCGCTGATGATGACGATGGTGGTGGTGGTGGTGGATGATGTTTGTGAGTATGATAATGCCGATGCTGGTGATGACGATGATGATAGCCATGATGATGATGATGATGATGATGATGATGATGATGATGATGATGATGATGATGATGATGATGATGATGATGATGATGATGATGATGATGATGATGTTGCTGCTGATGATGATGATGATGATGATGGTGGTGGTGGTGATGGTGATGATGATGATGACGACGATGAGGAGAAGGAGGAGGAGGAAAGGAGAAGAGGAGCAGCAGTAATAGCCAAGCAGGTGAGACGGGGGGAGGCTCTCCTCCTCCTCCTCCTCCTCCTCTTTCTCGTCCTCCTCTTCCTCCTCCTCCTTCCATGCGACCCTCCCCGTCGTCACGGCTGGACGCGACTCGGGGAAGACGGGTCTTCCACTAACCCGGGCAGCCTTTTGGAATGCTGCTGCCTTGCTCGCGCACGGCGCGCCCGCGCTCGGAGAGCCCTAGAATCCGGAACGCGCAACCAGTAGAAAAGCAAACGGTTCAGGTCGTATTCACATCGCCCAGATCTCCGACGATCTTATGTTTTCAATCCCGGCGTTTTTTCCAGATGTTTGTCTCTAGGCCTCCCCGTCATCGGGCCCCAGGGCCATCAAAATTGGGTCCCTGACGAAAGCCTGCTCCCAGGGAAGGGATCGGGCTTCTGGGCCGCGCATTAAAAACAAACAACTGATCGTCGGATGTCTGGGCAAGTGGAGGAAGCAGGGGAAGGAAGCAGGGCCTGCTCACCGACTCAGGGGAGTAACAGACAAGCGAGCTGGGCCAGGCTGCTCTTGATTAGCGCGCAGAGGACGAAGGGGCGAAGAAGCTGGGGAAAATGGGAGCGGGTCAAAGGCACCCCTGGCATCTCGTCGTGGCTCCCTCGGCCAGTGCCACGGGCCCGAAATGTGGCGGGGTGAGCCAGGGGGTGAGGCGCTGTTAGCCCGTAGCGGGTCCCCAGCGGGTCCCAGTTGGGCGCAAGGTGTGCGGCTTGTTGGCTGCGTTGGTTAAGGTCTAAGGGCAGCGGGGAAGTTGGCGCTGGGGTTGGGGCTGGATCGTTTGGTGCCGCCGCGGCTGGCGAGTGTACGTCTCCCTCCTCCTCCTCCTCCTCCTCCTCCTCCTCCTCCTCCTCCTCCTGATCATTCCCTTTCCTCCTCCCCCCTGCTGCTCCTCCTCCTCCTCCTCCTCCTCCTCCTCCTCCTCCTCTTTCTCGTCCTCATCCTCCCCCTTCCTCGTCCTCCTTGTCCTCCTTGTCCTCCACCTCCTCCTCGTCCTCTTCCTCCTCCTTCTTCTCCTTCTCCTCCTCCCCCCCCTCGTTTTCCTCCTTCCTCCCTCCTGCTGCTGCTCCTCCTCCACCTCCTCGCCATCCGCTCTCCCCCTCCACCTTGATCTTTTACCCTTCTTCCCTGTCCACGCCCCCCTCCCAAAAATTCCGTCGTTGTGATTTTTCACGACGTGGGCCCCTGGAGGTCTAGACCACTTCCCCGGGAACGGTTTCTCACCCTGGGCCGTTTTTGTTGATAGCAGCGTCCCGTGATGTTTTTGTTCCACGACGCGAGGAGGTCTGGTTTTCGCGTGAGACTTCCTGCGGCCGTCCAGGAAGCTCTGGGCACCCCTGGAGCGCCCTCGGCGAGGCGCGCTGTTGGAAGGCACCGCGAGCCCAGAACCGACGAGGCCGCCCGAGAACCTCGCGCGGCGAAGCCCGAAAGCGCCACCGCCCGGGTCCTACCCCCGCGCCCTCCGCCAGAGGCCTCCCAGCTGGGGTCCGAGCAGATGGGGTCGGAGCATCGGCGACCTCGGCGAGGCATCGCCGATGCATCGCCGATGCATCGCCGTCGCATCGCCGAGGCATCAGCGATGCATCGGCGTCGCATCGGCGAGGCATCGGCGAGGCATCGGCGACGCTGGCGCGGAGGAAAGTCGGGCTCCACATCGAGCCGCACCGGCGATGCATCGGCGATGCGGCGCGATGCCCCGACCCCTTCCACGCGAGGCGTGCCAGGAAAGGCCTCGGCTTCGAGGGTCGAAGGAGCTGTCAGCTCGTCCGCCGCGGAAGGCGGCGGAACGGCGGCGGAAGAAAAAACGAGGCCGCCTCCGCCGGCGGAAGCCGGCGGAAGGCCAGCGGAAGGCCGGCGGAAGGCGGCGGAAGTAAAAAAAGAAAAGGAACAAAAAAACCTGACGAAAGACCCAAACATATGCAGCTGCGAGTGCCGCATTGCGGGTACCGCTTTCGGTGGAACTTCTTATGGGGCCACGAACACGAATTGTGTGAGGGACGTGCCAAATTGGGCGCGGTGGTGTCATGCGAGCCCTCCCACTGGAGCGTTCGGTGGAGCATCCTCTGGGGCCACGAACTGTGTGAGGTGGTGTATCGACTTGGGCGCGGTGGTGCCATGCAAACCCTTCCACTGGAGCCTTCGGCGGCATTCCCTATGGGGCCACGAACAGTGTGAGGGGCGTGCTGGATTGGGCGCGGTGGTGTCATGCGAACTCTCCCACTGGAGCCTTCGGTGGAGCTCCCTATGGGGCCACGAACCGTGCGAGGGGTGTGCCGAATTGAGCGCGGTGATGCCACGCGAACCCTCCCACTGGGGCATTCGGTGGACCTCCCCATGGGGCCACGAACCGAGTGAGGGGCCAGTGAGGGGTGTGCCGAAATGGGCATGCGGTGGGCGGGGAGGACGCATGCGGACGCGGCCACTGGGGCCTTCGGTGGAGCTCCCTATGGGGCCACGAACCGTGTGAGGGCTGTGCCGAAATTGGCATGAAGCGGGCAGAGGCAAGGAGGGGGCGGAGGGAGGAGGGGGAGAAGGAAGGAGGGAACGCGGAGACCGCCTCTTCAAAACGAGGACCCAAGACCACAGGATGGTTGGGAAAGCAGGCGCCTCCAAGCGGTGAAAACGTTTTTCGGACTCGGGGCCTCCGACGTCCGCCACGCCTGCTCGGACCCCGTCTGGGCGGCCTGCAGCTTCGCCTCGAGCCTCCCGGCCCGCCCCGGTGGGCGCCAGTGCGCACTGGGCGCGGGGCGCTGGCACTCGACGCTGCACAGCGCCCCCGGCCCTCGGGCGCGGGCACCCCCCACTCGGCGGAGCCGCGCGCCCGGCGCCCGCCATTTCTCCGCCGCTGGCCGGGTCGCCCTGCTGCAGTCAGGGGAGGAAAAACCACCCGGACCCGACGAGCGACGTTCACTAAAAACAGCCCTGGGCGTGTACTGAGCAGCCCTGCCCGGTTCGGTTCCTTCCCTGGGTGCGTTTGCTAAACGGCTTCGGTGTCGGGGTGGTGATTATCGGGGTGGATTTTCTGCCCTCCCAGCAGGGCCCCCAGGTCCGAGGATGCGATTGCTGCGGCCTTAAGTCCGGTGCCGACGACGCCGAAAAGGGGACGACGACGACGCCGACGCCCACGCCGACGTGGGTCAGAGCCCTCAGGGATTCTGTTTGGGGTCTCTTCGGAGCCCGAAGCGAGGCCCCGAGATCCGAGGAATGTTTTGTTCCCAACCATCCTGTGGTGTTGGGTCCTCGTTTTGAAGAGGCAGCGCCCCGCGTTCCGTCCTCCTCCCGCTGCCCCCTCCCTCCTCCTCGCATCATCGTCATCATCATCATCATCATCATCATCATCATCATCATCATCATATTCTCATCAATCACACGCACTTACATTCAGTCGTCGTCGTCGTCGTCGTGTCGTCGTCTCGTCGTCGTCGTCGTCCATCATCATCAACAGCATCGACATCATCATCATCATCATCATCATCATCATCATCATCATCATCATCATCATCATCATCATCATCATCATCATCTATCATCATCATCATCATCATCATCATCATCATCATCATCATCATCATCACCCTCACGAGGATCGTGGCCCCATAGGAGCTCCACCGAAGGCGCCAGTAGCAAAGTGCGCATGGCGGCCTCGGGCCATTTCGGCACACCCCTCACGAGGATCGTGGCCCCATAGGGAGCTCCACCGAAGGCGCCAGTAGCAGGGTCCGCATGGCGGCCTCGGGCCATTTCGGCGCACCCCTCACATGGATCGTGGCCCCATGGGAGCTCCGCCGAAGGCGCCAGTAGCAAAGTGCACATGGCGGCCTCGGGCCATTTCGGCACACCCCTCGCGCGGATCGTGGCCACATAGGAGCTACTCCGAAGGCGCCAGTGGCAGGGTTCGCATGGCGGCCTTGGGCCATCTCGGCACACCCCTCACGAGGATCGTGACCCCATGGGGAGCTCCACCGAAGGCGCCAGTAGCAAAGTGCGCATGGCGGCCTCGGGCCATTTCGGCACACCCCTCACGAGGATCGTGGCCCCATAGGAGCTCCACCGAAAGCGCCAGTATCAAAGTGCGCCAGGGCGGCCTCGGGCCCATTTCGGCCACACCCCTCACGAGGAATCGATGGCCCATAGGAGCTCCCGAAGGCTGCCAGTAGCAAAGTGCGCATGGCGGCCTCGGGCCATTTCGGCACACCCCTCCCGAGGATCTGGCACCTAGGAGCTCCACCGAATCCGTACCGTCGGTAGTGCGGCATGCTGCCTCGGGCGATTTCGGCACACCCCTCGCGGGGATCGTGGCCCAATAGGAGCTCCTCAGGCGCCAATAGCAAAGTGCGCATGGCGGCCTCGGGCCATTTCGGCACACCCCTCGCGAGGATCGTGGCCCCATCGGGAGCTCCACCCAAGGCCCCGAGTGGCAGGGTCCCCACGGCGGCCTCGGGCCATTTCGGCACACCCCTCACGACGATCCTGGCACCATACGGAGCTTCACCGAAGGCGCCAGCGGCAGGGTTCGCGTGGCGGCCTCGGAGCATTTCGGCACACCCCTCGCGAGGATCGTGGCCACATACGGAGCTCCACGAAAGGCGGCCAGTAGAAAGTGCGCATGGCGGACCTCGGGCAATTCGGCACACCCTCCCAAGGATCGTGGCCCAATGGGCTCTCCGAAGCGCCAGTAGCAAACAAAGTGCGATGGCGGCCTCGGGCCATTTCGGTACACCCCTCACGAGGATCGTGGCCACATTAGGGGTTTCACAGCAGGCGCCAGTGGCAGGGTTCGCGAGGCGGCCTCGGGCCATTTCGGCACACCCCTCACGAGGATCGTGGCCCCATAGGGAGCTCCACCGAAGGCCCCAGTGGCAGGGTTCGCATGGCGGCCTCGGGCCATGTCGGCACACCCCTCACGAGGACCGTGGCCCCACTGGAGCTCCACCGAAGGCGCCAGTGGCAGGGTTCGCATGGCGGCCCCGGGCCATTTCGGCACACCCCTCACGAGGATCGTGGCCCCATAGTTGTGCTGCTTCAACAACCGCGCCTGGGCGTCGTTCTCCGCCTTCTCGACGTGCACCGACACCTCCTCCCTCATGGCTCTCAAAGCCCTCTCCTGCTTCTGCTCCTCGGTCAGAGGGACGCCGTCCTTGTCGTCGTCGGCGCCCGCGAAGACGGCCACGAACGTGTTCCTGAGCATGGCGGGCTCCGGCGGGAAGCCGTGGCCACATAGGGAGCGCGGGCGAAGATGGTATTCACAATTGCGGTATTCACATCTGCATATGGTTGGGTCCTTCGCCAGGCTAATTTTCAGTCCGGCGGTTTTTCCTGGATTGCGGCCTCTGGGGCCAGTTCACGGGCCCGGGGACCATCAAAAAGGGATTCCGGACGAAAGCCCACCCCCGGGGAAGGGGTCCCGACCTCCCCAAGGCCGCGGAGTGGAATAATCATATCGGCGGATGTCTGGGCCCGAAGCAAGGCCCAGGTTCGATGTTCGAGGTTTTCGGACGCTTTCGTTGGTTTTCTCCGATGTTCCAGCCTCGGGGTGCCTTCCAGCAGCTGTGCCTCGCCCGTGGACGCTCCTGGGGCGCCTGGATCGTCCAAAGCGGCCGCCGGAAACGAGCATCCGAAGACCAGATTTCCGGTGATATGTTTGTTCAATCCCCGCGTTGGATTTTTGTTTCGATTTCCATGCAGGGCAGATGGGTCAGTCGCGAAAAACTGTCCCAGAGGAGGAGGAGGAGGAGGAAGAAGAGGGAGGAGGAGGAAGAAGAGGTCGGAGTCTTCTCTGAGAACACAAATCTCATCGTCAGATGTCTGGAAACGGGTCCAGAAGAAGCGGGGCCTGGATGAAACCCCAGAGTCCAATGCCAGTTTCACATATTGCACCACGAATATTGAACCACATATATTGTATGTTGCGCACACTAGGTCACACGACCAAAAAATCGTACACACATATTGTTCAACATAGATCGTACCACACATGCTGCACCGCATGGATTGCACCGCGTGTATTGCACCACGCCGGCTGCAACGCACATATATATATATATATATATATATACATACATACATACACACATACATACATATGTATATATACATATACATACGTATATATATATATATATATATATATATATTCATATATATATATACATATATATATGGGGGTATTTTCACATGTTGATGCGTCCCACGGCGAAGTTGCCGCATTTGATGGGCTATCGTGGCCATCGGGCTCAAGCCTCGAGCGACTTCCGCCCCGATGTTTGCTGCCCTTTCCGCCGCGGCTGGCGCCTTCCTGCCGGAGGTGGGCCGCGGGCTGAGCACGGGGTTGGCGGTGTACGCGGCCAGCCAGGGGCAGGCCCAGTGCCCAGCGTGCTCCTGCTCCCGGCAGCTCCAGTGCCTGGAGCTGCGGTGCGATTGGTCGGGCCTCCAGGGCACGAGCAGCCAATGGCCGAGCCTCTGGTCGGTGGCGCTGGCCTGCGCCGCCAGCGGGCTCGCTGGAGCCGGCGCCGCCGCAGTGGCTTGCTGGCGCCTGGCGGGCGGGCGGATCGCGGTCGCGCGCGGCGCGGCGCTGGGGCCAGCGAGCCACTGATGCGGCGGGGCCGATGGGCCACGCGGGCCTCCCTGCGCCGGCACGGCAAGGAGACGCGCCTCCTCGGGAGGCGGCCAAGGTGGAGCCCGACGTGCTGCTGTTCGGGGAGGTCGTGGAACACACCGTGCTGGACGTCTTGCGGGGCGGCCAGGGGCTGCCGCTGGTCGCCACCCTGTTACCAGCAGCCACCCTGCCCCGCCTGCAGGGAGGGCCCGCTGCCCTCGCAGCCAGGCGAGCCCGCCGGCGCTGACCGCGCCGCCGGCAGGCGTGAGGCTGCTCCTGCGGCGGCGATATCGCCGTTGCCGCGCGGGCGCAGGCAAGTGGAGGAGCCGCAGGCGCTGATTCCGATGGGCAAACCTTGCCAATCAGGAGCCCGTTCGCAGCGCCTCCGCTTAGGCAACCGCTAGTTCCACTTTTCCTGCCGGCTCATCCGGCTATGCGTTCAGATCGGCTGCTCTGTCTTTTGGGGATCCCGCGGGGTTCGCTTGCATGCGCCTGAACTGGTACAGCTTCTCTCTCGCGATTCTTGCACAATCCACAAGATGGATATGTGCCAGTTCGGAACACCTTTCAAGAAGCCCACATCCGTGGCCTGCTGGAACGTATGTACTTTTCCCAACATGTGTAAATCGTGTTTTGGCAAGAGCGGCATCTGCTCGTCGTCTGGCCTGCCTCACCTCATCCTCCAAGGTCGGGGCAAGGGCGCGCCAGCTCACCGTGCAGAACTTGCCGCGGCATGCTCGCCTCAGTTTGCTGGCGCCGCTGCCTATGCCATGACGCACTCGGCCAATGCGCTCAGACCTTTCATCCGATGCTTCTGTGCAGCGAGCGGCCGACCTTCTGCACATGCGAGCGACCGACCTTCTGTACCGACCTTCGTCCAATGCTTCTGGAAAAAAAAAACTGTACATGCGAGCGACCTTTCATCCGATGCTTCTGTGCAGTGCCATTTCGGCTGAAGAGCCCCTGGAGGGCGAAAACTACCTGCGCTTGGCACACAAAACACATCAGCATCCGAGCAGGCTTGATAGTCGTTTCGATCGGGGGGCTGGATGATGACTACTGCTGTACGCATTTAGCTGAATTCGGCCAACGCGCGCGCTGCTAATCACGCAGTGTTTTCCCGTGCGTCACCCCCTCTGCCTCGCCAAACACAGCACTTTTGTTTAAATTTTGTCTCCCTGTGGTGGTCGGTGTCTCCCGCGTTGGCGGGCGTTCGCTTTCTCGCCGCAGAATGTGGCAAAACATAGTGTGTTTGAAACATTTCAGGGGTGACGCACGAGGTTTTCCCTGCGTTTCTGCATGGACAATGCAGGGCTTCAGGATATCCGTGCGTAAGTCGTTTTCGGCCACCTGCCGTGGCCAGGTCTGCTCTGCGGGATGCGGGCGGCTTTGGGCAGTAACTTTGAAGGCGCGCGGCTTTCGCCGGCATCAGGTTTCAGTCTCAGCTTGTCCGGTCTCGCCGTGGCCT